ATCTCAACTTAGGTATGCATATGTTCCTGGTTCATGCATGCTTTCACAGGCTAACATCGAGCAGATGACAACGAGATTGAAGAGTTTCCTCTTGTCGATACACCAGTGAAGCCCTGCAAAGCACTTCGCTCAATCCGTCTTTGCAGAAACAGGACCACACTTCTCGATGTTGATCACTATTTCCCAAGGCTTGAATCGCTGTACATTGATGGCAACTCTCTAACACAGGTCTTGGGATTGGAGCACCTTCGAAACCTGCGGACTTTTTCAGCTCGTGAACAAATACTTGACTCTGAAGCAGACATGGAAATATGTGCCAACAATCTTGTCAAGAATTCGGAAGTTCGCAATCTCTATCTCTCACTCAATCCTACATATGGCTTGCAAATCTCACAGCACCTGTTGAGCCTTCAACGATTAGAACTGGCCTCTATGGGCCTCAAACAGCTGCCCGACAACTTTGGTCAGCTCACACCAAACATCAGGTCCATCAACCTGAACTTTAACTCCATTACGGACTTACGTCCACTCCTCAACATTAAGCGGCTGAGTGAGCTTTTCTTGGCAAGCAACAAGCTCGAACGCCTTCGTGCAAATGCGCTCGTGCTGGGCAAGCTAAGCACACTTTCGAAATTAGACTGGCGAGACAACCCTCTTACTCTGCGCTTCTATGCGCCATCATCCGAAAATCGGATCATGTCCCTTCGACGGAAACCCTCTGAGGAACAGCTCAAGAACCGCTTCCTTCTTCCGAATGGAGAAGTAGAGGCTGATGTTCAACATCTTTTGCGACTCGATTACGAGACGCGGATCAGGCGGCGCGTCACAGAGATGATGCTTGCTAATCTCTGCAAAAACCTAAAAGAGCTGGATGGCCTACCATTCGACAAGGCACGTGTGCTCGTCAAGGACGACGTGTGGGAACGTCTATTGTTTCTTGGCGTCATACAGCGCAAACGCGCAGACACAGCTGTCGACGACAGCGAATGATAGACTGGTGACTTAGGAACAAAGACAGAGGAATCTTCCAGACGACCGGCGCGTCACATTTCCAACAATGCTTCTTGTTAGCTTGGAGTTTTGGGCGGGACTGCTCTTCTTACGCATTGCAAGTCAGATTAGGTTTCAGTGGGTTTTGCATAGCATCTGGTACTTGAGCATCTTGTAGGCGTAGTATTCATTGGCGTCTTTTTAAACACGAGCTTTGTTTGCTCGATTGGGGACGGGCCTTCTAATGACTTCACGAATTGTATTAGTAGTAATCAGGCTCGGTGTGTTGTTGCGATTGCAATTTTATCAATCTATCTCGAAAGTTTGTCTTCGAGACTGCAAGTGTAAGGCCGACGTGTGATCAGCCGCCCCGCGTTCCACTAAAACAGCTGCACTGAGGCCCGTGCATAGAATCGCCCTAGAACCCGTGACACGCAATCATAAACGCAAATGTTCGCCCTATTGAGATGATCATCATCTACCACACATCCGACAATGGCCAGCCCATCTGACGAGGAGAGAATCGTGCAGCTGGCGGAAAAGGCTCACGAGAGCATCAAAGCTGGCGAGTTGGCTGTGGCAGCTCGATATCTACGTGAAGCTGGCACTATTACACCTGAAGACAACCGGATCAAAGAAGCATGGGTTGCGTTGAAGGAAGAAGAAGGCAAGAGCGAGTTCTTGGGGATTTGCAGGGATTGGGTAAAGAGCAAGGATGCACGTGATGGAGAAAACGCACTGAAGGCCATGAGATCGCATGGTTTGAAGGATGAAGAGGCAGCACAGGCAATGGACATTCTCTTTGACTACAAGGGTGAAGACGACACTCTCGATCAAGTCTCAGGTGATCTCTTACAAAATGTTGGAGCTCAGAAGTGGCTTGTCAATATGGTTCGAGAAAAGCCGACGCGGATGTACTACGAGATGTTCGAACGGGGCAACGACTCAATCAATGGCTTGCTAAAAGTCTTACTGAACCGAGCCGTCTGGCCTGATGACGAATCTTTCAAAACGGGCCATAGAGATATCTTCATGCTCAGTTTGGCAATGATGATGGAGGAGGCCCTTGAGCACCCGGAACGCGCCATGAAGGGCATCGCACAACTGCTCGCTCATTACGCAGAGCACCTTAAGGGAATCATTGATGCGGACAGCTTCGATGTTATATTGGCATCGCTAGATATCCGACTGCCAGCCACGCTACGCAGTCAGGCTACACTTGCGAGTATCAAATTATTTGAGCTGGCTCCGGACACTGCTGGAGAACTCATCTCGAGATTCGTCACCGCCAGGATAAAGAAAGGAGAGGCACACGATCTAGTCATTGCTTTCTCTGCGGCTGCAGCCATCTTCCCGGTGGCTGTTACAGCCGCTGCGGCCCTTTTCCTCACAGATGGCTTTGTCAGCACACTTGCATCGAGAGTACAGAGCAAGAAGTCGCATAACCTGGAGCAAGCGACCCTCGAACTGATCAGCGCTGCATGCGTAGACAAGAACTGCCGAGAGGCAATCAATAAACATTGTAGGGAGTGGCTAGAAGACATGGTTGCCGAGTGCCCGAACAAGAGGCGGGCTAACCTGGCTGCACTCATTCTTGTGAAACTGGGTGAGGAGCAGCCATCTGAGGACGGTCCGCGGATCGTCAGAGCAGAGAAAGTGGATCAAGAGGACTTGATCGCAAGCTTCAAGTCAATGGTTATAGGAGGCGACACGGCGTCCAAGCAAGACTCGGTTGAGGGTCTCGCATATGCCTCGCTTCAGCCCAAGGTTAGGGAAGATTTATCCAAGTCTCCAAAGTTTCTCAAACGCCTTATCGAGGCTATGAGTGACCCTTCGTCACCAAAGAATATCATTTTCGGCGGCCTTACGATCTTCAGCAATATTACACAATATCAGCCTTTACAGTCCGAAGAAGAAAAACGCATGGCACAGCTCAAGGCCTACGCAAACGTGCAGAAGCCAACCGCCCCCGATGTTCTTCTCAACGACGAAGACGTAGCCATACGCTGCAAGCGCGTTCTCGATGCAGGCGTTGTACCACTTCTAGTACAAGTCTGCAAAAACGGATCTGCCTCCGTCCTCACACAAAGCAGTCTTATCCTCCTCAGCTTATGTAAAGACACGAAAAACCGAGGCCCAATGGCCCAGCAAGGCGCTGTCAAGCTCCTGATCCAAATCTGGGAGCATATCACCGCCACAAACGAGTCCTCCACGACCGGCACTACGCCCTTCCCGCCCGCCGCCCTCCCTACAACAGCACAAGCCCTATCCCGCCTGCTCATCAGCATAAACCCCTCCCATGTCTTCAATGCCGCCCTTCCTAGCACCTCCGCCATTCGCCCGCTCATCAGCCAACTCACCCGCACAGAGTCGACAACCTGGCAACTCCACGCCTTCGAAGCCCTCCTCGCCCTCACGAACCTCGCTTCCCTCGACAGAAACACTCAAGACCACATCATCCGCCAGTCCTTCGACACCGTCGTCGACGATCTGCTACTTAGCCCGAACACGCTTGTTCGCCGCGCAAGCACAGAACTCGTGTGCAATCTCATGGCCTCGCCTGTTTGTATCAGCAACTTTGCAGATGCCTCGCCCCGTGCTAAACACCGCTTGCATCTCTTGCTCGCCATGACGGATGTCGAGGATGCGGCGACGCGGTCTGCAGCGGGAGGTGCGCTGGCTATGTTACTCTCGGTTGATCTTGCGGTCGAAGAGTTCTTGAAGCAGGAGAAGAGCGTGGAGTGGCTGGTGGGCTTGTGTCAGGATGAGGATGAGGGGATTAGGTATCGGGGCGTTGTCTGTCTTCGGAGTGTGGTGGATGTGGAGCAAGGAAAAGAAAAGTGTAAGGGTAAAGGCGTTGTTGAGGCACTCAAGGTTGTGCTCAAGGAGAGTCGGAGTCAGGAGGTTTTGAGTGTGGGGGTTGAGACGTTGAAGATTTTGCTGGGGCAGTGATGGGTGAGGAGTTGATTGTACAGAGTTTCAGTGGAATCAATGAGGATATCGGAACAGGAGGCTTTTGATCCGTTCCGAGGTAGACTTTAGATTGAGATGTGTTATGATTTATGCTTTTTTCTCATTTGTTTTCAATGTGGATGAACAGGCTATGCATCTTGTTGTTCTCCAACCTTATCCATACAGACGCCATAGTCGCCTGATCTTCACCATGCAACAACTTCTGTCTTGGGATGATACGGATACAAAGTCCGAAATTCTTCTTGAATGTCCATAGCCTGATTGGTCTCTAACACGTCTAAAGGCAGAAGTGGGGAGCAGACACTGATAAGCAGCGGGCTTATCTTCGGAACGGTTCCGACATCAACCCCTCACGACTGATATGCACGATTGCGTCGAGTCAAGGAAGTGACTGTAGTGTGTTCGAAAGATATGCCAGGTGCTAAGAAAGTGCTCGTGATGTTTCTGGGGTGGCTTCACTCCCTTACCCTATTGGAAATTTTGTACAGCAGGATTGCGAGATGAACCACTTGCCGGATCGACTACCGCATGTTAGGACCATTGCTTCAGACCATGTGGTCTCAATTTCTATTGTCGTGGCTGTGTTATTCATCGTGTACAAAGTACGTATCCCTAGAGCATGTCAAAGCAATTATAGCTAATACCATTAGCTGCTCACTCTTACCGATATCCCATATATCCAAGGCATACCTGAGATTCCCGGTGCTCTCCCTGTCACAGGTCACTTGACACAACTGGGAGATGACCATGCAACTGTGTGCGAGAAATGGTGGCGCCAATACGGTTTTTCAGTATTCCAGATCCGGCTCGGAAACACACGCGCTGTGGTGGTGAACTCCTTTGAAGACTGCAAGAAGATCCTTATGTCAAACCCGCAGGGCCTGATTGATCGACCAAAGCTATATACTTTCCACGGCCTCATTTCTTCGACCCAGGGATTCACTATTGGCAGTTCCCCGTGGGATGAAAGTTGTCGCAACAAGCGCAAAGCGGCGTCAACGACCCTCAGCAAAAGCATGATGAAAAACTACGCCAACATGTTTGACCTCGAGTCCTACTGCATCGCTCGAGATCTGCAGAGGGATAGTAAAAGCGGAGAGGTGGAAGTTAGCATCCGACCGTACATCCAGCGCTACGCACTAAACACGACACTCACACTCTGCTATGGCATCCGCATGGACGCCGTCTATGACGATTTGCTGCGCGAAATACTTGAAGTCGGCTCTGCAATTTCGCTACTGCGGTCTGCATCAGAGAACTATCAAGACTACGTCCCTGCTCTACGCTACTTGCCGAACAACGAGAAGAATAGGCGTTCGAAGGAGCTGAGGGAGAGACGCGACAAGTATCTCAACTTGCTACTGGATAAAGTGCGAGATATGATTGAGAAGGGAACTGAGAAGCCATGCATCAGTGCCGCTATCCTGAAAGATGAGGAAACGCGACTCACAGGCGTCGAAGTCAGCTCTATATGTCTGTCTCTTGTATCCGGCGGGTTTGAAACTATACCGGGTACACTGGTATCTTGTATTGGATCCCTGTGCACACGTGAGGGCCTAGTATTTCAAGACCGCGCGTACCAGGAAATGCGGAAGATGTATCCGCAAGACGAGGACTTGAAAAAGGCGTGGGCGAGTGACTTTGAGGAGGAGAGCATTCCGTATTTGAGTGCGATAGTGAAGGAGGCAGGGAGATATTACACGGTCAGTAATATGAGTCTGCCGCGGAAAACTATGAGCGAAGTGCGCTGGGGCGAGGCAGTGATACCGAAAGGTACAATGGTATTGATCAATGCTCAGGCTGGGAATCATGGTAAGTAATCAATTATCTACACTTGAGCTCTGCAAGATCTAACTGTGTTAGACACTGATTACTGGGGCCCTGACGCTGCAACTTTCAACCCAGAACGATGGCTTACACCACCCGTCGACCCGTCGTCCCTTTACACGACAAACCCTGTATCCAATCCAGCACATCTCTCGTTTGGGGCGGGCTCTCGGTCTTGCCCTGGGGCTCTCATCGCCAGCAAGCTCATTTACGCAGCGCTCTTCCGTTTGCTCAGTCTATACAGGATCGAAGCTAGTGCAACGCATCCGCCGAATACGGATTATGTGGACTACAACGCGATCAAAAGCGCGTTAGTGGCAATACCCCGCGACTTTTCAGTGAAACTGAGTCGGAGGTGCGAGGCGGATGTGGTGGAGACCGTGCTAAAGGAGGGTGAAAGAAGGACTGAGGGATTTTACAAGGTGTGAGTGAAAGTGATAGTTAGAATTGGTCAGATTATCAATAGTGGAAGGCTCTCATGAAGGTATATAAAGACTCGATAGTGCATGCTCAAGCTCCTTTACCCACACAAGCAGTTGCAGCCACACTATCTCACCCAAGTTGACAATCGCAGTCAAAATCTCACTCGTCAAACGCAGACATGAGGCTTCAAATTACTCTCAGCTGCACCATCTTGCTCGTTGTAACTGCCTTTGGCCGTTTCATCAACAATCAGCAGGTGGCGTCCGTATCCGACTCCCACCTTGAAAGCAAGGTCCTTAACAACACAGTCGCAAAAGATGGACTGCTCGATGAATCGCCCGCCGCTGGGCCCGAAGCTATCAACTCTGGTTCAGAACCACAATTTGATCCCACAGTATGGGCGAGCAACCAGCTATGGAGCAGATATGTCAGTAAGGGTAATCAGTTGCTCTGTCTCATGCAGGCTTCAGACCAAGTTGCTGGGAACCTCCTGCAGGACACTAGACAGCCGCCTTCAGCTGCTAGCAAATGGTCCGGCGATCTAACTGGTGAGATCATTCCTCTTCTGATCACGCAACAAGTAACTTAGGAAACTGACGCTATTCAGCCGCATTACGGCTATGGGGCTGGTATGACACCGAGACGCCTCAAGGTGAGGAATGCAACTTTGAGTGGGAAGGATTGGAGGATGCTTTCGAAGGACTGGGCCTCAACTATGGACCAATGTTCGACGAAAGAAATGAAGCAGCAGGTGGAGAGAACGAGTGCTTCTCTATTGAGCATTGGAATCGTGATTTAACCTTACCTGAAGACCCGGACCTTGACCCGATACCTATTGTCGAACAGAGGTACTATGTTAACGGCAGAGAGTATAGGGTATGTTTATGTCTGTGGTGCTCATGCTAGACGATGCAAAGCGCCACTATCATGGGTCGGTCGCAAATGATCGTTTAAAACACTAGCTAACATATGATAATAGGAAACAGGTGCAACCTATCTGTTTGCCATTAATTTGGAGGGCGGAGCGATCATCGGAAAGAACATTCTGAGTCCGCGTGCTGCTGCACGATATTCGTATAGTTGGGGTCACGAAGCACGGCCTGAAGAGCTCCCTGAGCTGCAGCATCTTTCCGACATCTATTGGCAATTTTGGAGAGAGAACAACCGTGATATCACAAACCTTCGTGTCTATGGCGCTGAGCATGTTATAAACGAACACACTCTTCTCCTTGTCACTCGCGGGTTCCGGAATAGAGGCAAATTTGCTTTGGAGATTTGGCCGGGCGTCAGATTCGAGATGGGTAGCGAGGAGTACCTGGCATTGATCGGTATGTATCGCATTTCTTACTTGAATACTTACCTTCCCTATAATCCCGGAGCGACATATACTGACTTCCTCCAGCATCTCCTATTGGAGGGACTATTTCCCATTTCCTCATCAGTCACAAAGCTGGCCTCGGCATTAAAAGGATCTCGAGCGTCATAGTTGTCTGTGGCGGGGATAATCAAGAGCTTTGCACAAGAGGTCAGGAAAATATGCATATATTTTTCACCATTGAAGATGTGCCTCACACTCAGGCTACGAAACGTGAAGAAGACAAGGGAGGAAATGGAGAGACAAACTGGGTTAAAAGTCATGTCCTCCATGTGAGGGATGACGGGAAGCAAATAATCCGGGAGCACAAAATCATGGCGAATCTCTAGGGTGAGGTGACGCGTGGAATTCCAGGGTTTGATAAGCTAAAGTCTGCGAAGTGGATGTGTGGTTTCCAGATATAGCGAACATGTTTGTACTCCTGCGGGACTGCTACTCATTGCATTACCGACTGCCATTTTTCGGCGGTATAGTGCGATCAATACATCTATGCTGCTTCAATCTCCTGCACGCGCGCCATAATTCTGGTCTTCCACTTTGCGTAATCGTCCTGCTGCCGCTCGCCAAGGTAGTCAGTTGCATCTTGCATCATAGTGCCTAGGCCAATATAATCGCTTCCAGATCGTAGGCCTAGGCCCTTTACTTTGACAGTTGTGTTGCCGGTCATTTCGACACCTTCCATCTCGTCTTCATTGTCCAGAGGTCTTACACTATCGAACCACTGCATCTGTAGCCAGCCTTCTTCCTTGGCCATGGCCATTGTCTGCTCTATTGCAGGTGCCAGCTCATCTTGTGTGATGTTCTGTGCAGATGGGGTTTCCAAGACGGCATCCGTTGCCTTGGCTAGCCATTCGTTGTATCTGTCTGGCGAGACGTCGACATCCTTCATTCTCGAGAAAACGAGCAAGAACACAACGACTACAAGGCTACAAAGCCTTGTATCACTGACATCAGCAAAGGACTGTGTAGTAGATGTTGGTCGTTGTGGTCGCTTGCTAGGTGTCTCAGCAGCTGCGGCAGCCATACGGGCGAGTAGAGGGTAAATGGACTCTACACCGGTGTACACATGAGGTATCACTGCTGGATATTCGAACGCCTTTGCTAGAGCCCTGATAGCGGGCATGACCCACTCCGGGGGCTCACCATCGCTTTCACGGCCTCGCTTTGTGCTGTGTGGTGTCTTCCTTGCGCTTAGGGGCGTTTTTGGTGTGTTACGTGTGGATGTGGAGGCCGGAGCAGACGATTTACGCGGTGTTTGTGGCTCTGCAGCGGCAAAAGAGTCTGGAAGAGCACTACTTAGGTAGTTATACAGCTTCTTATATATGCGAGGGGGACAGGGCGGTCGTGATGTGATCGAAGGAAGGTTGAGGCGCTTCTTAAGCCTGTAGTTGTCAGTATTGAGTTCCATCTAAAGGCCAAGGCCAGAATACCTTTCGCAAGCCAATTGCGCACATGCGTATGGTCGTGCGATTTCTTCATCAGACTTCATAGACGTCGCGACTGTTCGGGAGCGAGTGAGAAGTGACAAAGCCAAATCGATCAACTCTGGGGGCAGAGGGCCATTCAATGTAGGCACTAAGCCGGTGAGGGCCTGCTCGATACTCGCTCGGCTCATAATGTAAGATATCGAGGATCTTCGTCCTTCCCGAAGAACAATACTGTCATGCGAGTGCAGACGCGTTACGTCCACTTGCGCGGTGTCACGTGGACGCTAGAATACTGGATGTGGTCAGTGCGTGCAACAGTTCAGTCAATGCAACACCCAGTATTCTTAGTTCATCAGGCACACTTCGTTGTTTGCACTGCCCTTGCACAAGCTCATCTGATTCTCTAAATTGTTGATCCTGAGCCATGTGTGTGTTGCTCTTTCTTTGTTCGCCAGTCTTCAGATATCTTATTTGAGATGGCTCAGTCGGTGTTTAGTCACTTTCCGATTTCATCATGCAAACGTCCATGGTTGTCCCTCACACGGAGCTTTGATGAAGCGATACTTACCAACAATTCCGCGGATTTATATTGATCAATCTGTATGCAGAACATAGTTCTATGTACTGTTATAACCTTGAGGCACTATCACGTTTTTGGCTGGCTCTCCCAGAATGCTCTCAGCTTACACACACTTGACCTCCTCCCAACGCCCATGGCCGTATCGCTCGAGCACTGCATTGCTTGTATCATCACATTATTATCTGTTCCCAAATGCAGAAGTTTCTGGATCTTCCAAGTATATTCGTATGACCCTCTTCTCGGTATCCAGTACCACTTCTTTGCACGTTACGTACTCTCAACGTCCTCGTCCCACTGTTACAGTAGCACCTCCAAGTTTTCACCGCTATCCCCAGCCAATGGGTGTTTGCATCCCTCAAGAGTCGAAGTAGCAAGCCGCGCCAAGGATACCGAAACTACGACATGGACATAGGGTTCACGCCATGTCGCTATGACTAACGTCTCATGTTCAGGCCATGGTGGTACTGGGGAGGCGCGGTTCAGCGGTCAAGCCGAACTTACCTCAGAACACGTCAACTCGGCTTGACCGACATATTTGCGTACATGGCCTCTGATCGCAGCTGCTGCGCTTGATAGGACGTCGCGGTAGGTGCACTCGTCAGAAGGGCAAAGGTGACATCAAAAACATTAAACCCGTGTGACATACAACGGCCCTATCCGGAAGGAAATAGTATATCAAAGCCACGCTCATGACGGGATCTTGCAGTTTGACAGTTTGGTAACGACTAGTGACTATGTCACAACACGAGATGATGACGATTTGCATGTGGCCAGGGAAGTTAAAGTCCGCGTTGCTTCTTATGCTTTCCAATCCAAGTATCGTACACGCAAGCCCGGTATCGGTTGCTAAGCTTTACCCGCAAATCCTTCGTAAACCCTCGAAGAGTCTTTTGTCTTCACAATTTTCCAGTTGCCAACCACACGAGAACCTCGAGGAATCACTCTTCGTCTCGCAAAGCTCTTCAAAAAATGCAGTTCACAAGCATTCTAATCGGCCTACTTTCTACACTACCCAGCACCCTATCAGCGCCCGCATCCTCCGTAGCTCACAATGATGACCCACAAATGTGCGGCTACGTCCTCACAGTCCAAAACAGCAGTGCCTACGCCGGCATCTCAGCATACTCGTCTTGCACACCAATATACTACAATCAATCCATCCCTGGGTACCAAGCTGCATTCGCTTACAGCATATTTGGCGGGTGCCGATGCAAATTTCACGGGTAAGCATCTTCTTGCGGTGGGAAACTTGTAGGCTAAACATTGTTAGGAGCGAACAGGATTGTGTAAGTGGACAGGATGCGCCAGTGTATGAAGGGCCTATTGGGGAAGTTGGCAAGGAACCTCATTTCGGCGAGCCGAAGCCCAAGTGGTACAATTGTGAGACCTTGGCGTTGTAGGGCTACTGCCGTAGACAGGTCTGGATGTGGTGATGGCTTGTGGTTAGCGCTTGCTTTGTTGGGATACCATTGGTAGGTTGCTAGCAGCGATATATTTTGGCCTATTCAGTTCGTTGGTTCACTTTTGGTTTGTTTAGAAACATGAATTTTATTACGAGATTCCAATACGCCATGTGTCTTCAAGTACACGCTCTAATCCCAGTACACAAACGCTTCTGTCAATCGTAGAGGCAAAAGTCAGATGCTCTTTTTTTGTGTAGATAAAAATACAGGGTCCTGGCTTTCGATCGCGTATGCAAAGATTGCCCCTCTATCCCTAACTGCAACAGCCATAGTAACTAATTGATTTCTTCCATATCCGCTGCTCAGGAGTCGCCAGTCCACAGTTCGAAGAAGACATCTGATTTTTGAATCACAGCCGTTGCTCCAAGTACTAGAGCTAGGGAAACCCCAAATTTCAAGTCGGTTGCCTACCGATCTTGTAAACCAAAAAGCTCCAAATGAAGGGAACCGTAAGTCCAACTTACCTTAAGAATTCACAGATCCAAAATTGTTTTTTATTGACCATCATGACACCTGAAACGGTCTGAAATGTCTTTAGGGCAGCCTTCGGGAACAAAGCGACGATTTGCGCGACCTTGGCGACTAGTTGGGTATCCTGGATTTGGGAGCCAGTGCGGATGAACCCAGGGTCCGTTGATTCTTTCAACGGCGAGGACCCGGTACATGGTAGCGGCGGAGAAGAGGATGAAGAGATGGAGGAGCCGCATCTTCGTGTTGTAACGGGTTATGCTATGGGTGAACAAATGCGGTCAAAATCGAAGTGGTTAAATGATCCAAATGTGATGGGAAAAGAATAAGTTTCGGGGCTGACGTATTTTGAACATGGGGAAGAGAGTAGTCCATCCTGATTTTATATTGTTGATGGATTTCTGGTTCCTTTTATGTGGGAGGAAGAGGCATGTAATGGTGGAGAAGGACCGAGGAGGTTATTTGAGACAGTTCGGATTCGCCTCGTACACTCGAATCACTGAGGAAGCAATGCTAAATAACTTTATGACATTCAAACGTCATATATTTTAGTGTTTTTCACATTACGTCACATTTCTGGTACGCGTTGTCATCAATACCGTCACCCCGTTTTTGCTCCCATGGAACGGTACCGTCTCAGTGACTTCCCCTTTGCTATGACCATTGCCTGCAAAACGGATGGCTAGGCTACACTTCTACCATTCAAAACTGAAACTAAAAGGAGGGTGAGATTGATTCCTTGCATCATGACTGTACCCTACAATCACGGTGGTGGGTGGTCACAAGTAATTGTACAATCATCTACAAATTCTTTGCCTGACTCCTTCGCAGCTTCAAGACCCTTCCCAACGTCATCTCACATCAAATCGAATTCTCCCAGTCTCCTTAGCTAGAATGCGTTTTTCCACATTTTTTCTAGGTGCCTGTATGGCAGCAAATGTTTTAGCTTCTAAGTACTTCGAGTAAGTACCACGTTCTTAATGCATGTAGTGGCACTATCAAGGAGCAAGACTAATCACTCAGACAGCGGAGTTGGCTACGTCCGTGGTGGAAACAGCAACTTTTACTTCCTTGAAGTCACCGACGAAATTAAGATAATCACCAGTGATCGGCAGAGCAACTGGTTTGTACGGCCTCTTTGTTGGAACATAGAGAAAGGCTACTCGTGCAATTTCTACGAGCAATCGTTGAGCGGTCACGGTCGTTTGATTGGCCAATACGAGGGCTTCAGTGAGGGCTGGTTTACCAGCGAGTATGCAGCATATTATAAATGCTGGGTCACTGGCTCCAACGGTGGGGATACTGCCATCGAGAATCCGCGCACTGGTATCGAGCGTCGGCAGCGGGTAAACGACAGGCACAGGCCGTCCCTATTAGCAGGCTACCCATGTGGCACCCTTGGGGTATGCTTTAGCCTTGATAATACGTACAACAGAGATTATACTGATCTCGATAGTTTCATGATTCATAGGTCCAATCTGGTGATTCTCATAAGCGATGTGTATGGGCTCCTCAATGCTATCACTACGAGTACTTTCTTGCTCTTCAGGCACTTGAATCCTATGCAGAAGGGCTAGCGCAACGACGAATGAGGAATTGTGCAGCGATGTGGTTAGAGTGTTTGTATATTTGGTGCGGGAAACAAGATAATGTACCAATTTCGTGCATTTGATGATTATAATTTCTCGTTTGATGATCGTGTCAGGTACTTTAAATTCTGGTACGCAATATCGCAGTAGTATGCTTGGATAACGCGTTTCCGATCGATTTGTACCACACGCTATATTCGGCGGCGACGGGATCTTTGTGATTTCGAGATGACATGATGATAGGGATGCGGTGCTGGTGATTAGGTTTCACGAGGATGGGTGAGATGGTGAAGTCGGAGGTCCGAGGCGCTCCCATTGGCGGCTGGGGCGATAAGATAAGGACCCAAAATTTCCATTGCGCCTTGCGAACTTCCTCGATGCTTGCATGCGACACCACACCTCGATACCCCACGCGCCACCCAATATCCACAAGGAATAAGGACGTCAGCACCAAGAACCGTACACTGAAATTCATCCAATCAGACGACCGTATCAACGAACTACCACCACGATGATCCGGAAACAAGCGCGTGAAAGGCGCGACTACCTCTACCGCCGTGCATTAACTCTGCGCGATGCAGAACTTGCATCCAAGAGAGCCGCACTCAAAGAATCTCTCGCAAGCGGAAAGCCGCTTTCAAAAGACGTCGCCAACGACACAGCCCTAAGAGAAGACTACAAGTACGACGAGAGCAGAGCAGATAGGACAGTCGAGGAAGAGCTAGGCTTGGATGACGAATATGCGCAGCTATCTGGAGTCGTCGACCCAAGAATTCTCGTCACAACCAGTCGGTACGAGAGACGCTTTTTCTTCGCTGAGCGCAGGACACCTGCTAACGTATGCGTGACACAGAGACCCTTCAAGCAGACTCGGCACCTTTGCCAAAGAAATCCGATTACTCCTCCCCACCTCAATCCGCCTGAACCGCGGAAACATGATCTTGCCCAACCTAGTCGAAAGCGCAAAGTCTGGAGGTCTAAGCGATATGGTACTCCTACACGAACACAGAGGTACTCCGACTGCCTTGACGGTCTCACATTTCCCCCACGGACCCACTGCTAGTTTCTCACTTCGTAAGTCTTGTTCTTTATTACCATCCCTTTTTGTTTCATAGATGGCGGACAAAGCTGACAAAATTATAAAGATAACGTAGTCCTCCGAGCAGACATCCCCAACTCCTCGCGCGGTACAGTCTCAGAAAGCTACCCACATCTCATCTTCGAAGGCTTCACCACAAAACTCGGCCAACGCTGCGTTCAGATTCTAAAACACCTGTTTCCACCTCGAGAAGCAAATGCTAAAGTGGGGAATCGTGTCGTTACGTACGTTTCCTTTCCCCTCTCTTTCCTTTCCCATCTTGCGTTTACTAACATTTTTTTTCGAACAGTTTCAAGAACATAGAAGATACAATTGAAGTCCGTCACCATGTTTTTGTAAAGACGGGGTACCAGTCTGTGGAGCTGGCTGAGGTCGGGCCGAGGATGAGCATGCGGCTGTTTGAGATTAGGGCGGGTACGCTGGACAATAAAGAGGGAGATGTCGAATGGCATCTCAACCAGTACACAAGGACTGGTAGGAAGAAGGATTACTTGTAAGGGTTTGGGGGTAATTCATGAATTCGTCTGGACTGTTTTTTTTGTGTTCGATCGGCCTTTCCTCGTTCATGGGATAGTAACGTCATGTGGAAGTTGGGCATGAAGAGATGATTAGGAAAAGGGGGAATAAGAAAAGTCGGATCGAGGTCTTTTTGCACTTTAAAATGGTTTTAGTGCATATGAGTTAGGGGCAAGGCGTTCAAGCATGCATGAGGGACAACAAAAGAGCCCAACAATATCAATATGCAAAATCGCAAACTTTGGCTGGGCGACTTGAACTTGGTCGAGTGAAACCGGGTTTTGCGTAGCTCACATTTGATCTATAGCGTCATGTTTTCTATACTTTGACTCCGTACTAATGATAATGCGAACAAGCTAGGTTCATCACATCATGCATCCGTTCGACTTGCTTGAGTGCAAGTCAGAGACACTCAGGCGCACACGCTGGCCATTGATCATCATGTAGCTTTCGACAAGCCACTCATACCACACCTTGCGGTCATCAGTTTGTCTCCAGAAGCTGACTTCGACCTCTGAGTTGGCGGGCAACTGCATAGGGTTCTGTGATATTTATCAGTACAGGTGCTCAAAGAGGTCACAGGACAAAACATCTACGGTGTAACATACCTTGAGAGGGAACAAGATTGGGAACCATGAAATCATATCCTTGCTCTTCTGCTCCATTGTGACGGGGTTGGTACTTAATTCTACAGGGCCCTCAGAACCACTGTACAGGACAGTCTCAAAGTAAGCGCCCAATCCATGGCAGACACCCGGCTCTTGAATTGGGAAGGCGATCCTGCAATAGCGCAGGTTGTGTTCATTCGCGCCGTCGCCTCCGCAGAAGCCGCCTCCACCCCCTACTGCCGACCCACCCTTACGTAGCGAAGACTGAGCCAGAACCATCGGTGGGAGAGGGTGGGTAAACTCCCACGCAGTCCGAACATTTGGTGCGAGAGGTGGTTCGAGGTTGAAGTTTTGCATCTTAGTGCCATTGCTGAGCTGCTGAGAGGCAATCGTCTCCTTGGCTTCTGTAGACAAAAAGTCGAATTGTGACAGCATGACGACCCAGGGGATATCGAAAGCGTTTGAGTCTACACTCGTACTGCGGTTGTACAAATCTGCCCAGAGCTTTGGGGTGGCAATTGGAGTAAAGTGTGCGGTGTAGCTAGAGGGTATCGAGATGCCATGAATGGGGTTCAAGACATGCTGGACACCGTCGAGACACTCTGGTGACAACTCGTTGTCGGCAAAGGATCCAAGCAGTTCACTCACGAGAATGTCAACCTGGCCAAACGTGCCATCTGCTTTCGATGGGCCTTTCCAGGCCCTCATATCCGTCTTGACAACTGTGACACGTCCGCCCCAAGTCTCGATGTTACGGCGCTGTAACAGGACGTAGGCGTTTGGGTTCTTTTCAATCGCATATACTTTGACAGGGACACCGGAGCTCGCACTCGCATTGAGTGCACGTGTTACGAGTGGTCCACGGCCAGATCCTACAACTGCAATGACGACGGCGCCATTGTCTGAGCTCGTCGACTTCTGCTGTGCATGCCAATCGCGTAGCGCCTGTGCAATTGCTCGCTCGTACCATGCGTATTTAATTGGGTCTTTCTCAAACACCTCATAAGTGATGGATTCCAGATTATCAGTCAGGGGCTGCAGTGGGCTCTGGAGGTAGTCTTGGAAACCACCACCAAAGCGTTCAATCTGGCTTTTGGGGGGTTGGTTACGCTGCAGGTACCGCATATAACTCAGGTGTGGTGTGGGATCATTGCTGCTGCTGCTCTTTTTTGGTGATTTCTTTGCCAATTGAGCTGCTTCGGCTGGAGTGGGTGCGGCCGTTGAGGAAGCAGGGCTAGGAGCGTCTTCTACCGTGTGAGGGGAGAGATGTCCTGTAGAATACGACATGATCATGTCTGGATCGTCAATGCCTGGAAGTGGGCCGACGTCCGAGATGAGTAGCCAAGGTCCGCGCTGCAGGCGCATAGCCCGGAAAATGAAGACTTGGTGTGCCTTTGAAAGCACGAAGGATTGACGGGCATTAACCAAAAAGGACGAGGCCGACAAATTCAGTAGTCGCACGGGCTCTGAGAACCAGCGCGACTGAAGTGAAAGCGACGGAAGTCGGCGCGGGAGATCAAGCACTGAGGTAATCGAGTTAGCATGGAGGAACATGTTCTGACGAGGCACAGTCATCATGGTGGAAAGGAGAATGCTTACTGATTGACAGTCTACTGTGGTAGTTGCAGATGGACCTGATGGTATTCCACGCATCCCACGAGCTCCAAGAGTTGATGTTCTTTGCTTCGGGACTGGGCTCAAACTCTGGTCTGGCAAAGCGTGCTAGGTCTCCGACATCCGCTTCGGTAGGTTCTGGCTGCTTGCCGTCCATAGGCAGTTGGATATGGAGCTGAAGGTAAGACCCCGTAACGAGGGCCTCTTTGATCGATCGGGCATACTGAGACACACCAGCCTGTCCATGGGCGAGTCTCGGACCTGGGACGACAACGTTTGTGACACCGCAGAATGCAGCGAAGGCAATCTCGAGGTGAAAGACTTGTCGCGACAGATGGGCAATAAGTGGATCGGGCGAGGACAGGTCAATCCACGGGCTAGCAAATGTTACGAGCTGGCCGATTATGTCGGTCGGACCGAGGGGTGTATCAAAATTGTCCAGTGCAGGTATCAAGGGCAGCGGCTGCGCTGGAGACTCGGCAAGGGATTGAGAGTACGAGTTGAGGATGCCGAGGACACGGTTATGGAAGTGGTCATTTGTGATTGGGCTCGTGAGCATATCATACTGGCCATGGTCAGTCGCGGTTCCTGCATATTCTCGGCGGCACCTACTCCGAGATCTTGGGCGTGCTGGACCAGTTCCGGCGACACATCGAGGCTGCGCTTCGACTCATGTTGGCCAATATAGAAAATGGACGCTGATTCATCCATTCCTTCCGAGTAATCCATGTTGCCAAGAGGGGACCGGACAGGGCGCAAATATGTGTGGCAGCGAAGGAAATATGACTACGGAAAAGAGGGTGGAGAAGACTGCGGCGGCGGAGCACGGCAGCGGGGTTGTCGGTGAGGCGGCGGGCAGAGGCAATTGCTGCGGGCAAGCAAATCAGTCACGGCGGCGGCGATGGGTCACAGCAGGCAGAAAAGAAGCCACTCCGGGTAGAGGGCGCATGTATATTGATCAGACTCATGGCGGCGTGTGTGGGTGGATATTTGGTGCGGTGCCTGGCAGGCCGTGGTGGTTCGCGCCAAGCGTGGAGGGTAATGCCTGTGGAGCTCCGTACGTTAGTTCGATGCAGGCTATTCCTACTCCGGTCGCCGCATAACTTTTTCTACGTCCGGCCATCTTCACCACGCGCAACCCACGAGCAAACCGCAACCATGACTGCTATGCCCAAGCGCGAGTACGATAACGACGACAGCGCCCGCGTCAAGCGCGTCAAGACTGAATCCACCGGCAAAGGCGACATGGACGCCGCCTCCAACCCATACCTCGCGCACTGGAACGAGGCCAAAGACAGCGCCGCCACCGGTCAGGGCCTCAAGGGCTTCAAGCGCCATGCTACCACCACTGCGCAAGCCAATGCTGCAGAGAACGGGCCTAACAACCCCTTCACCGGTCGCCCTCTCTCCAAAAAGTACATGAGCATCCTCGAGAAGCGCCGCGACCTGCCCGTCCACCAGCAGCGCGATGAGTTCCTCAAGCTCTACCAGGAGTCGCAGATCCTTGTCTTTGTCGGTGAGACTGGTTCTGGAAAGACTACACAGATCCCTCAGTTCGTTCTCTTTGACGACCTTCCTCAGACCGAGGCCAAGATGGTCGCTTGTACGCAGCCTCGTCGTGTCGCTGCTATGTCGGTGGCCCAGCGTGTGGCTGAGGAGATGGACGTCGAGCTGGGTGAAGAGGTCGGATACAGCATTCGTTTCGAGGACAAGACGGGGCCAAATACCATCCTCAAGTACATGACGGACGGAATGTTGCTGCGTGAGGCCATGAATGACCACAACCTCACGCGCTACAGCACAATCATCCTCGACGAGGCTCACGAGAGGACCTTGGCCACCGATATCCTCATGGGTCTGCTCAAGGAAGTTGTTCTGCGCAGGCCCGATCTCAAGCTCATCATCATGAGTGCCACTCTCGACGCTACCAAATTCCAAAAGTACTTTCACAACGCCCCGCTCCTCGCCGTCCCTGGACGAACCCACCCAGTCGAGGTATTCTATACCCCCGCGCCCGAGCGCGACTACGTCGAAGCCGCTCTCCGCACTGTCCTCCAAATCCACGCCACCGAACCCGAGGGTGATATCCTGCTCTTCTTGACTGGTGAAGAGGAAATTGAGGATGCATGCAGAAAGATCAACCTTGAAGCTCAAGATCTCAGTCGCGAGGGTGGTGCCGGCCCACTGGTTGTATACCCGCTCTACGGAACTCTGCCTCCGGCCCAACAACAAAAGATCTTCAATCCCGCTCCTCCGCCATCAACTCCTGGTGGCCGCCCCGGACGAAAGGTCATTGTTTCTACCAACATTGCCGAGACATCGTTGACTATTGATGGAATCGTCTATGTCGTAGATCCGGGATTCAGCAAGCAAAAGGTTTACAATCCTCGCATCCGTGTCGAGTCGCTGTTGGTATCGCCCATCTCTAAGGCATCTGCACAGCAACGTGCTGGACGTGCCGGACGTACACGCCCCGGTAAATGCTTCCGGTTGTACACTGAGGCCGCCTTTAAGAAGGAGCTTATCGAGCAGACATATCCTGAAATTCTGCGCTCAAACTTGGCGAGTACGGTTCTGGAGCTAAAGAAGCTCGGCGTTGACGACCTGGTGCATTTTGATCTTATGGACCCTCCTGCGCCCGAGACTCTGATGCGTGCGCTGGAAGAGCTCAACTACCTGGCATGTCTGGACGATGAGGGCGAGCTTACCACCCTGGGAAGTCTCGCATCTCAATTTCCCCTGGACCCTGCGTTGGCAGTGATGCTCATCACTTCTCCCGAATTCTACTGCTCCAACGAGATGCTGTCTCTTACTGCACTCCTCTCTGTGCCCCAAATCTTCGTCCGCCCTGCGAACAACCGCAAGCGAGCAGATGAGATGAAAGACTTGTTCGCGCACCCTAAGGGCGACCACCTCACAATGCTGAACGTCTACCATGCGTTTAAGAGCGAAGACGCGCAGGCAAACCCAAAGCAATGGTGCCATGACCATTTCCTGTCATACCGAGCGCTCCAACAAGCCGACAATGTCCGTCTCCAGCTTAAACGCATAATGGAGCGTGAGGAATTGGAGCTTGTGTCTACGCCATTCGAGAACAAAAAGTACTACGAGAACATCCAACGTGCACTTGTCGCAGGCTTCTTCATGCAAGTCGCCAAGCGTGATGGAAACGGCAAGAGTTACATTACAGTCAAGGATGAGCAAAACGTTCTTCTGCATCCCAGCACAGTGCTGGCTGAGGACAGCGAATGGGTCATCTACAACGAATTTGTGCTCACTACGAAGAACTACATCCGAACTGTCACCTCCGTCAAGCCTGAATGGCTCATGGTAAGTACATATAGTTCCAAAGTTTGCTCGTCGCATACTGACTGTTCACAGGATATTTCTCCCAACTACTACGATTTGTCACAGTTCAAGAAGGGCGAGATCAAGACGGCGCTGCAACGTGTTGTCACCAAGATTCAACGCAAGGAGGCTGAGAAGGGAGGACGACGATGAGGACCTTCAAATTCTCTCTACGAAATGGATTTATGCAATACTTTGGGATGAGGTGCTGACGCTAAGCACCAAAGATAATAATGTTGGATTGTAACGACAACGTCTGATTTCTAGGGGCAGTATCATCCAGTATGAGTCTCGCAAGTATGTCAGATACCTCTAACGCTTTTGCCCTTCAGAGCAGGGTGATGCACAAGAAAGTAATCACGGGCCTTTAAGATGGCTAATGAGCCTCATGGGGGACGCGTCGTCGCCAGTTTTGAACCAAATCTTCCTTTTTCTTAGCATTGATAGACAATACTCAAAGCCCCAAGGAGGTCGGTTCTATGGGGGTTACGTTCACCTGCTACACGAGCAAGGTGGCCACCCTATGGCTGCAGATGGGGCTGATTTACATTTGGTACGGCTATGTGTGAACGATTAGAGAATTTCAACAATTAGATGCAGTGGCATTCACAGAAACAACATTATGGTCCATACCCTCTCTGTTAAATGTTGATATGCAATAAGACTAAAAAAAAACGTGCATCAGCCGAGCAAAAGCTCCATAACTATCGACACCAAATGTCTCTGTTAGTTGCCAGATAATCTCTCATTTGCTACTATGCATATCATCAGTATCACTGTTATTATGTGATGCACACATAGATCAAAATAGCTGACTGGTTATCGCTGCTAAGAGCACCTCAATCTGTGGCAGTGCCATCCCTTTGTCTCGGTCATACTCTTATTTCGTTATGTCAATCTGTCTTTTTGTAAACAGGCCACTACATTGAAGTTTTGCACACACACACACACACACACACACACACACACACAGATCCGGGTAACTTTAATCACATGTAGCAAGACAGTTATATCGTCGCGACACTACCTAGATAAGCATACTCAGTCACGCAAAACTCCATTAAAGAGAAAATTACGCAACACATAATTAGCAACTCCCGGCACGAGTATAGTTTTGAACCCGTACCTACCACCCCATCAGCACTAAATCATCATACAAGTACACCCCACCTCTCTCTATTTCTAAAACATGTTGAGTAGCCATCCGGAAGGTTTCTTTACGAATGCATAAACTCAAGTATGGAATGTTTTGATACGAGTTACTTACATATCTACCTACCTACAACCTCTTTGCCCTCATCTCAAGCACAGACGCACTCGCTACTACCAGCACGTTATCCACTATCAATAGAAAAAGAGAGAGAAAAATGCACCTCATAACACTCATGTCCCTCGCCATCGCCACTATCGCGCTGGCAGCACCACGACACCGCGATACTGCACAGAGTTTAAAGGTTCCTTTTTTCACTTTCTTGCCTCCCCCCTCCTTCCCCTCTTCTCCTTCCTACACCTCACCTCCGTTTCTGTGTGTGTGTGATGGATGTATGCATATTTTATCTGTAGTTTTCGAAGATCTATGGTGGACTTCCAACATATCATCTATGAACGTCCGTGTACACATTTTCATGGTGACTTTTTAACGCAAGACCGAAACCTCTGGCTAATGATTGCTACTGTAAATCATTCACCTGTATTCGGGGTTTCGAATGAGAGACATGTTTCTATCGACCTGCTTCTTGTTCGACCAGTGACTGAAGAAGCTTCACCGTCGTTCTTGTATCATAGCCAGTCTGTGTTTCGACTTCGTTGAGAACATTCCAAATTCGTGCTTTCCGTGAGATACCCTGGATATGTTTCGCCGCTGCATCCCCATGTCGTTAATTTCAAGTACAAGGATTGGTCTTCCATGTTGATCACGTACCGTAGAACAAGCCATGAGTAGAAAAAACCATCAATGATGGTGGAAATTCCGATATGGCTATGTCAGTGACTTTTATGGCCTGCTCCTGGATTAGTGGAATGTAGGCTTCGTCCTGTAATTCTGGCTCTGCATAAAGTAGTATGTGCGCGATATGGTACCCTGGTGAGGTCAGTATTGCTTAAGCTACTGTTAAAGGTAAGCTCAAGCGTACAGAATGCAGCTGCCGCAGCTGCAGCGACCGGAAAATACACCTTACAGAAACCATCCTCGTCTGTTTCCCCGTGTGGGATACCAATGAAAGTCTCAGAAAGACCTCTTCGCCATATTTCCATCTCATGTAGGAAATCTTGTCGTTGTATTTTACCAGCTTCTGTATTACCATCTGGCCCAAACACCAGGTTGATTACTCTTGCCAATATCCAAAGAACATGGTTTCCGAGCACGTCCTCTCTCGTCTCACCCTCTACCCAAGAAACCTCCCATTCAGCAGGGTTGAACACCAAGGGCTGTTCGCTTGCCATTGCTACAACGATTTCATGCCGAACGTAGATCCAAAAGTTGGCAAGATCAATGCCAGTCGATTGCGCAGTAACGCGTCGTGACTTGACGAGGCTTACAAGGCCTAGATAGTGCCTCCGATAATCCTCTGACCGTAACGCTCCATGGATCTCATAACTCAACAGCAGCATACTTGCCGTCAGCGCATGCTCATGCTCTGGCATACTTAAAGCTTCAATCAGTAGACGCAGAGCCTCACCGTAGTGTCTTACGGCGCAAACTCCCCACGACGGATCATGACTGGAATTCGAGAGGGCCAAATGGTTGGCGGTGAATGCACATATGCAATGAAACAATAGTGGAGATCCTAGAGCAAGCTGCGGCACCTTATGCTGGTAGGTGGAAGCGTGGTCGAATATGTCCATCCATGTCGCAACGGTGCGTACGTACGTCTGCAAGAGGAAAGCACTTTCTGAGGTCAACCGTATCTTTGGCTTTGGACTAGTTGGCCCTGCTGATCCCGTTGGTGATAGGCCATTTACCGGAATATAGCTTTGAGTTGGCGTTGGGTCCTCAGGGAGTTCTAAATCGTTCATCCGTAGCTTGAAGACATCAACAAGCGAGGGCGCATCTTTATTCACCTCGTCTGCAGATGAATTGGCCTGCGGAGTAACACAGACGTCCACTGGCTGCTCGCATTCGAGTTGCAGACGTTCACAATTTCCACAGATAGGTTTTTTCTCATCACATCGTGTGTGGCGACGCTTACATGTTATGCTGAAAAAGTAGAGTCAACAGAGTGAACGTCAAGTTGTCAGCGTAGTGAACAAACCAGCCTTCATGTCATTAGTTTCCTTGAATTCGTTACTATCGATAAGGACGTCACTTACCTGTTTTGCTCCGCGTCCCGCCTCTTCGCTTCTTTTTGGGTCTGCTATCACTGTCCATTTCAACTGTACAGTTCCGGGGTGCCTTGTAGTTAGGCCAGGAAACGAAAAACCTGGTGACAACAGCACATCGTCAGCGTTGAGCCAAGTGGAGCGTAAAGCTCAAGTACATATAGTTTCTAGTACATGTTGGGTTAGCCTAATCATCGCGTGTTCACGTGGGATATACCTATATGCACCCATGCCATATCAGTAGGGCACAAGCAAAGTTATTCACTGTATAAATCACAAGAATTGACGCCTAAAAACTTTACATGGGTCCAGAAACTCATGCAAAGGTCGTGGATCGTCCCAGGACGAACTTCTTTGAACAACCAATGGAATGCCAGGAACTAGCTATGTTAGTATAGGTAGAAATGCTCGAGCTATTTTACAGTCCAACAAAAAGGATGAATCATTATGTTGTACATCAGGTAGTTATATAATTTATGGCTATCAATATCTAACCAGGTACTTCGCGGTGCATCCGTCCACGAGGAGAAAGCCAGAAGTACAATAGCGTTATCAGGTGGTAGGTAGGCTTATTGAAGTTAGTAAATAGGAAGGTAAGTCTTGTCATAAGAATATGCACCGTTCAACCTTACCAAAAAAATACTTCCATGAGACGACGCCAAAGTGGCATACTTATGTGCATCATATGTATCTGAACATGTTGTTTCGCACACTTCTCTTCATAGACGCAGGTTTTCCATCTTCGTATTCAACACCAGCTGCTCCTCCCTCGCTGTCAAGCCCTTGCAGTTTTTCCATAAGCTCCGCATCAAGCTCCGCTTGCGTCTTCCTCTTGGCCTTTGGCGCTTCGGAAGCCTTATCACCTGACTTTTGAGAATCGCCACCGACTGAGTTCGTGTTCGTGCTATTCAAGCTTGAATCTGAGTAATCCCTGAATGAGGCGAACACTAGCCGCGCAGATAAATACGAGTATCGCGGGATAGAAGAAATAGGAGTAAGGCAATGCATTTGGCGTAAGTGCATCATATTAGGAGATGGGTTGCTGTACATTGAAGCAACTGCAGCGGCATAAAGACTGCGATGATGGTTCTACGTCACTGTGACCACGTCCGCAACGCGAACATAGATAATCATGGCGAAAGCCCACGCAAATAAAATAATGCTTGTAGCTAACTCCCTTGCTATCCGAATCTCCGGTTTCTATTACTGATATTATACTACCCACAAATTCTGAACTCAGGGATTCAAGTGAATTGTTGCTGACCCAATGCAGATGCCTGTTTTTGCCAAGACGCTAGTCTCTGCAGCCCTTTGAACTTTGAGTTCCTCGCGGTCGCATTGCACTGCACGCGCCATTCCACCAACTTCCCGCGAAACCATCCAAAATGGTCGTCACATCTTCCTGGTCGAACGTCGAGGACGAAGTACTGAAGGCTGCCATCAGTAAATATGGGCTGAACCAGTGGTCACGGTGCGCATCTCTGCTAGCAAAGAAGAGCGCGAAGCAATGCAAGGTACGCGCTTTCATCATAGACATTAGCTATCGCTAGAATACTGACACCAAACAGTCAAGATGGCAAGAATGGCTGGATCCGTCGATTCGCAAAACTGAATGGGATCGCGAATCGGACGAGAAGCTCCTGACCATGGCGAAACTCCTTCCCACCCAATGGCGCACGATTGCACCCATCGTCGGACGGACAGCGACACAGTGTTTGGAAAGATACCAGAAGCTTTTGGACGAACAAGAAGCTCGCGAGTCAAGCGATCTAGGACTCGCAGGTCCAGAAGGAGGAGAGGCAGCCCCCTCAGCAGAGGATGTCCGACGCCTGCGTCCTGGCGAGGTTGACGCTTATGCCGAAAGTCGTCCTGCTAGACCAGATGCTGTGGATCTAGAGGATGAAGACAAGGAGATGCTTTCGTATGTATTCCCAGAAAATATGTACATGCGATCATGCTGACTTATTGTGTACAGAGAGGCTCGCGCGCGTTTGTCCAACGTTAGCGGCAAGAAGGCCAAGCGAAAAGCTCGTGAAAGGCAACTGGAGGAATCAAGAAGGCTTGCCTTGCTTCAGAAGAGACGGGAGCTGAAGGCGGCTGGTATCAACATCAAGATTACCCCGAAGAAAGGCAACCACATTGATTACAATGCCGACGTTCCGCTCGAAAAAGAAGTCCCTGCAGGCTTCTTTGACACCACTGAAGAAATCGATCGTAACGAACGACAACGAGAAGCCTTTGACCCGCGAAAACAACAACTTGCGAACAAGAGGAAGATGGAAGCTCAGGAGGATGGTGGGGGTGACCGAAAGAAGAAGAAAGATGAGAAGGGGGGAGGTCTCGCAGCGTCATATGCAAAGGCCGCACAGATGCAGAGGATACGAGAAGCAGAGCAGAGCAGCAAACGACGTGCGCTTGTGCTACCATCTCCACAGGTTGGAGAGGCGGAGCTTGAGGAGATTGTCAAGATGGGAGCAACCGGCCAACGCGCAATTAGCGCAGGAAGCAGCGACAATATAGCGACCCAAGGTCTGATCGGGGACTACTCGAATGTGGTTGGCAACACACCGATCCGAACACCAATGGCGCCCAAGGAAGAGGACTATGTCGCAAATGAAATTCGAAACGCTCGGATGAGGACAGAGACACAGTCTGCTCTGCTCGGTGGAGATAACCCAGATCTTGTAGAAGACCAGGCGCCTGTTTCGTTATCTGGATCCACTTCACGGCATCAAATTGTAACCCCGAACCCGATGGCAACCCCCTTTAGGCAAGCCAATGGCGGAGTAGGCGCGACACCAATGCGACAAGGACCAGGAGCGACACCGATGCGAACACCACGAGACACGCTGCGCTTGAACGGGGAGGAAGACGGCATGCAACTAGTTTCTCAAACGCCTCGGGATATAAGATTGAGAGAGCAGGCGAAGCGTCAAGACTTGAAGAGCAAGCTTGCAGCATTGCCAAAGCCCAAGGAGGAGAGCTGGGAGTTTGAATTACCTGAAGAGCAAGCAGAGCCGATGGAAGTGGAGATTAGCGAGGAGGACGCAGCTGAACGTGACCGGAAAGCTCGCGAAGCTCGCGAAGCACAAGAGGCTGCGGAATTTGGTCGACAAACCCAAGTTGTTCAGAAGTTTCTCCCAAGGCCATCGCTGATCGACATCGATGCCATGATGAAGCGCGCTCTTGATCTGTCTGATCCTGTAGAGCGCGAGGTTGAAGTCGAGATGGCCAAACTCATTGCAAACGACGTTAAGAAGTTTGGCAACGGTCGCGTCACTGGCACCGTACAAAAAATCGAGTCCATATCAGACAAGGCACTCCGAAATGCAAAGATGGAGCTTGCTCTCGAGCTTGCCATGACAACAGAAAAGGACAAGAAAGCCTTCCACTCTGACGTCAATACTGCGTGGACGACGCTGCATGGTTCCACCATCCTCCCTGGTATTGCAGGCTACGAAGAAGATGAGATTGATGAGCATCAGCTCATGGTCGAAGCGTTTGACAAGGCGCAAGAAGCAATCATCGACGCTGCTGAACGCGCGAACAAGATTGAGAAGCGCCTCATGACACACCACGCTGGATATGCCAAGCGGTCAGCTCTGCTACGAGAGAAGATTGGTGGCGCTTTTGCTGCGTTAGAGAAGGCAAGAGATGATCTCAATACAGCACGCACAGCGGAATATAACGAACAGACTGCCGTGGAACGCAGGTTAGAGCGTCTACGCGAGGAAGTGCAGTTTGTCACGAAGAGGGAGAGAGAAGCACAGGAGGTGTACAGGAGACGAAAGGAGGAGCTGGACAACTTGCAAGTTCCCGTCAATGGTGTACATTAGATGGCTTTAATGCGTGTTTATTCTTTTTCTTTTTTTCTCCATTTTGTATATCAATTCAAGTGGGGATGGGTTGCATTGGGAGGGCGTTTTATCGATGCTGCATGATGTGGGTATTAGGACAAAACTGCTAGCTATCATGAGAGTGTTGAAATAAATGATTTGATACCACATTTTATTGTGCTTCTTCTTGTAATATGCTCGCCATGAGTGAATATGGAAAGCAAAGTTTGTCTATTTTTTATGCAGCGCTGATCTTGTTACATAGGGAAAAGATATCTGGACAGGTATCCGGACATTTCCCAAAGACACATATAATATGTACTATGATATTACATCTCCCCACTCAAATTCGCTATTACACTACAACACTACACTTCTCCTAACTCTCGGTCACCTCTATAATACTACATAGCCCATCCAGTCCACTCGCAACGCAACACCAAATCTTATCCTTCACGCCCCCATCACCTATCAGCCTCACACCCTCTCTACTCAACCAACTCACCCCTCCTCTGCACACGTTGACCTCACCACGCTCATCTCCGCGCCACATCTCACCACGTAAGCAAAAAAACAGTCTATTCGCAGCTAAAACACGTAGATGGTAGATTTAGCCGCCGCTTGCAATGCAAAAAAAGGTCAGCAAGTGCATCGGACCGTCTAGGGCAAAGTATGTATATTACGGTGGCGTGACATGGACGACCTGTTTGTTTTTGCGCCTTTGATATTTCTGCGTGAGAGAAAAGGGTTGGGGAGAGAAGAGGGAATAAGCTTTATTGCTTAGTTTCTAGAAGCTTTTTTTTCTCTCGCTCTTTGAGTGTTGCGGAACAGGCGAGAAGATGGAAATGAAGATGTGTGTTTTTTTTTAAACAGTGGCTGTTTGTTTGTTTCTTGATGAGCCTGTGGTGGAAAGAGAGACATAGGTCCACGCCCTCCAGATGTCTCCCTCACTACTAAAAACACCCTGCTGGCTTTGGTGTGTTGCAGCACTTTGGCTCAATTAGTGGGCTTGGAAGAGGTTTCTTAGAACTTCTGCTAGTTTCAAATAAGTGATAGGTCGTTATTCTCTGGGTCACTTGTTGAAATGGGTGGGTTTCTACATATACCACGATTGCTTGCATGCAACACCTCATTCTCATAATATGAGCATACACTGCAACACACAACGATGTTTTTGATATTCCCCTGTGAACTTGTCGTTGCACTGACATACATGTTAGTCTCTAGAAAATATATCGTAAGAAAAGTTGCATGAAGGTACGGGAATGGTTCTTAGACTCAAATTACATCAAGTCTTCAAGCTGCTATCAAGAATCCAGATACACGGGGAAATATTCTGGCACGTGACCTGTGGCGAGCCAGAACAGACTGAGCATCCTTTAGCTAGCTTCTGGACACCATGATAGAAGGTGTTGTATTTCAGAACAGACCGTTTTGTCGATTTTAGGAGGATATGTTCATTTCAAACATAACACCAAATCATCACAGCGCACCCAAACAGTTCGAGCTCATTTGTTTCAAAAAAAAGTTTGAATTCTCTATTCGTATTTCATAAAAAAGCACACCAAGGTGAACGATGATATCTTCATCTCACCCGTCTATGGAACAAAAAAACAAGTTCCCATGGATGTCCGTCGTTGGGAGGACAAAGTGCAATGAAGAGGGGGAAACACATTCCCCGAGTCCCCCCTCATTCCAGAGTCGCAAAAAAAGGGTGTAAAAAAAAACCAAGAAAACCAGCTTGATGGGAGTACCGAGGAAGTGGAGGGTAAAACGGTTGTCCGTGCTACCCTCTCCCTCCGCGGACCGTAGTGAAAAGAAGCTGTATGGAGGGGGCCTGCATAGCAAGCAAAGAAGTGTAAAAAAAAAAAAAAGAAACAACCCATCCTCGCCCTGCATTACTAGGCAAGAAGGATAAGAGGAAAAAAAAGGGGGGGGGAGGGGATTTTACACCCGCCCATTGGCAAAAGCAAGACCCAGCGTACTTTTTCCCCATCGAAGAAGAAGTTTCGAAAGGGGAAAAAAAAGGAAAAGGAAAAGGAAAAGGAAAAAAAAACGCCAAATCTCCGTCTCCAACCACCTTTCATCCATCATAAAAAAAAAGCCAAAAAAAAAAGAACGCCAGATGAAGAAGAGCGAGGCGCATTTTGTTTATCGCTTTCCATCCAAGACCTCAAAAATGCCTACAACAAGGACTTCGCTGGACCCCCTGCCGGCACTCGGCCTGGGCTCTAGGACATCGAGCCCCTGCTCAAACAGATGCTTCTCCTCCTCGAGCTCGAACTCGAGGACGCTGGGCTTGCGGCGCACGGCGAGCAACTCGCGCAGCGACGAGCCGGACGAGGAGCGCTGGCTGTGGGGCGACGAGTTGCGGGTGAGCGGGGAGGTCATGGAGGAGGAGGAGAGGATGGAGGAAGGGGAGGCGGAGCGCATGGAGGCGCCGCGGGTGGGACTGAAGGCTGTCTTGAGGCGGCGGAGGGAGCCCGAGGTGCTGCGGAGGGGGGTGAAGGACTGGAAGCGGTTGGTGCGGGATGGGGAGGAAGGCATTTTGGCTTGTTTGTTTGTTGGAAGGATTGAAGGTTGTTTGGGTGGGAGTTCTCTCAGAGAATGTAGTAGAAAGTGGGTTTGATGAAGAGAGTCCGACTTGATTTCCTTTCCAGAGGGGGGATAGATGGACGAGGAAAAAGAAGAGAGAAGAGAAGAAGTAATCAAGCAATGCGGAAGAGGGCAAAGCAAGGTATAAGGATAGTCTTGGACAAGGTTGGTGGCGAAGGTAACCAAGGATTCGGGTCCGTCAGCTCTCTCTCTCTCAAGCTTCTTTTAGCGAGTCAAGCAACGGTAAATGACGTTGGCAAGCAAAAGATATGTCCCGGCGGGTAGGGATGACAGACGGGTCTGAGCTCGTGTGGGTGGAACACAGTTGGATAAAAGGGTAAGGCGTGCGAGTTTCGTGTAGATTTGGCTCTTCGCACCAAAAAATAATGGACCGAGACCAAGTACACAAGAGAAGGAAGCGGGAAAACCTTGTTGAGATTTGAGTCGTTTGCGCGTTAATGTGGCGTAAGTGAAAACAAGCGTTGAGTCGTTGCGTTGTGACGTGCGTTTTGCCGTTTAAAGTAAGACGGACGGGTTGTTGTGTGTAGTAATACCAGCCACGACACAGTGGAAGCCAAAGGAAAAAGCAAAAAGCAACGAATGAATCGTAGAAGAGAGAGGGGGAGGGAGATGATTCAGCGGTTTTTTGGGAAAAGAACGAGATGACAGCAGCCTTTTGAGACGCAGCAGAGAAACAGGTGCGGGTCCCCTTTTTTTCTTCCTAACCCCCTTCCCCCTCGTCTCCCAAAGCTGTCGTGTCGCATCTTGTGGATTGAGAGGACGCCAGTGCGCTTGCGTGTTGCGTGTGCCAGGGAACTTCTCAAACCATGGAACGACGCTTCAAGTGGACAGGGGCGGGGGTTCTGGCCCATTGTTTGATCGCCGGCCCAAGCGAACTAGCGAGCGAGAAGTCGATGGGCGTTGGTTTCCTACTACCAGAGTCGTCTACGTAAGTACAGTGAATGGGCTTTGCTGGGCCTGCTGGGCCCTTGCAGGGCGCCGCGGACAAATTGCTCTGCTCATTTCCAGCCAGAGGCCCTGCAATTGACAGGGGAGATTGCATGGCATTGGACCGAGTAGTAAGGATGATCCATATCTCCCTCTCTCTATGCTCAACCACCGGATTGTGAGCGATGGACGTATCCTCAACGTCTTACTTGCTTTCGGCCGAAGGGATATAGCGCATTGAGCGTCGCTTTTGTTCTGGTTACGTACTATGGGGCCTTGATGTCGCGACGAGTCCCTTTTTTTTTCTTCCTTCTCTTTACCCTTTGCATACGACTGGAACATGCGTCCCCCTCATGCACAATTGGCTTACATATGGGCCATTTTTTTTTACCGTGCAGAGGCTTCTCCGCCGATGGCGTCCCGTACCGTCCTCACAGCAGAAAAGAGTAGTACCAGTACGGAAGGGTGCAAGCGACCGATTGGGTACAAGAGACAGACGAGTGTTCTCACCGGAGCATCTATACCAATCTAGCTGGCTTCAGACACAATGCACCCCATCGTCTTGTTTCTCGTGTTGCAACCAACCAGCCCTCGCTCGCTGGCCGCACACACAGCACATGAAGCCCGCGCCGTCTCCGTGGCTGTGTGACGCAACAACAATCTGCGACAGACAGCCGGTGGCCGCAAGCAGTATGATCCTTGGGGGGCAACGGAGGGATGCCGAGCTGTCTGACGGCCGACCTAGTGTTTCAGATGCCCCCGGCCACAAGACGAATCGAGATGCCATTGTAATGCAGGCGACGCATCGACGGCTTGTCCGTGGTCCATTGTCTGATGGAAAACGAGGCACTGCACATGCGCGCAAATGCGTCTCTGGGTCATGCGCATGGCGCGAGTTTCAGGTACGGGATGCCAACCAGCTCGCCTAGACTAGCGTTCCCAATGGTATTCGTATCCGCTGCTCTCGTCCTCATCCACCAATGTGCCAAGGTCACGCTGCGAGATAAGCTGTGGACCACCGCTGGCCCCTTTGCAATAAAGCGTACAGACCCAAGAAGGGAAAGAGAGTATTGGACGAGTCGCCATGACTGCTGCTTGTTAGTCCAACACCAAGACACCCAGTCGTCATCACCATCATCATCATCACCATTATTGCCATCGCAATCATGGACCCCCAACCGACTACATGCTCGTATTAATGCCGCTGTGCTGCTCCCTCGCGTCTGACCGCACAGTCAGCCGCAAGCGAGTCCGTGACATAACGGGCTCAAACCTTAAGATACAAGCCCATCAGCCCAGCATACCCACCCACCCCCCTCGCTTCTGCGTACAAGTAAGTATACTACATAGAGTTTGCCACCCACCATGCCCATCACAGTCAAAGCATACATGCATATGTAGGGGAAAAGATAACAGTCCATTCAGATAGGTAGTCTACCAGCTCTACAGTGTAAGTA